TTTTTTATTAAATTGATTTTATAAACTTTAAATTTTAACAATGTTATTGAAAAATTTTTATTAGTAAAATACTTATTTTGGAAATTTAAGAGAAAATACCCATACATTTAAGTGTGGCTAATATGAATGCTTTTTTATATATTTAAATAATTTATCGTCCAAGGAGGTTGTTATAGAGAAGATAAATTTTATTAAGATTATCCATTATTTCCTTTTTAATTCTACAATTTAGGTGCAATTTCTGAATTTAATTGTAAAATATAACCAGTTGATGAGTTTCTAAAGACTTATAGTATATTATTTTTGAATAGATATTGATTAATTTTGTAAAAATCATAACAGTGATTATACATTGAGTAATAACTGTTTATTATTTGATGTATGTAAAATTTCAAGTTGAGCTCAAGTTAATCTATAATTAAGATTCATATATAATACGGTTAGAGAAGATATCATTATTTCCTTAAATCTTAATAATCACAAAATTATAATATTTTTTAATATGTTTTCAAAGTTTTTTTAATATCTTATCAATTAACAGGCGATTGATACATTATCTTGAATTGAGAGTAATGTTAAAATTAATCAATATCATATTGTTTTAACTTTGTTATATAGTTTAGAAGATTAACTTTATTTTTTTAATTCTTGTCATATCTTTTTTATTATTATCTTTGTTATTAAATATATCTTTTACTATTTATAAAAACTAATTTTACAAATTTATTAATTATATCTATTAAGACTTATGTTTATAAATAGTAATTAATTAAATAAATTATCAGAATATCTTATGAAATAATCATGCAGTTTTGTTAATTTAAGGTTTTAATTAAGTAATTAAAATTAATCTTTATTTTAATCTCTTCATTTAGCTTACTGTTCTTTGTTTGGATTATTAATTTAATGTAGTATCATTTAACATTAAATCTCTATAAATGTTAATTAATATCAGTTTTTTTTTTAAAGGAGATCTCAATAAATATACCCTACATTTCCTTAAAATGGAATCCTTTTGAAAAACTTGTATGAATCTTGATTAAGAATAAAGCCAAAAAAAAGATATAATTAAAAAAATATGAAGAATAAATTAAAATAATGATTGTTGTTATGTTCTTTATGAATAATAATTATCACTTTTACTTAAGGTCTTCTAAAATGCAACTTCCTTTTTGCTTAAACAATGTCTTTAAGTCAATACCGGATTGATTTATAAACTCTCCTTTCAAAATTAAAGTTCCTTTGGCTTGAAATATTGCTTTTTGAGATATAAGTAGTGTAGTGATGTAATTGGAGGCTAAAAATATGATAGGAGATAAATACTACCTTTCGAAATATGGCTATGTTATTAGAGTGGAATCTTAAATTATGCAAGAATATCTTTGTAGTTTTTATCAGAGGATTTAATTTCTTATCCTGTCTTTAAATCCCATAGACGGAAAGACTAATCATCACTACCAGAAGCTAATGTATTTCCATCAGGAGAGAAACAGACTGATCTAATATAATTACTATAACCATCTAATTTGGCTTTTTATTATCCTGTTTTGACATCCCATAGACGGATAGACTAATCTGCACTACCAGAAGCTAATGTATTTCCATCAGGAGAGAAACAGACTGACATAACATTGTTACTATGACCATCTAATTTGGCTTTTTATTATCCTGTTTTGACATCCCATAGACGGATAGAGTTATCATAACTACCAGAAGCTAATGTATTTCCATCAGGAGAGAAACAGACTGACATCACAGCATATGAATGACCATCTAATTTGGCTTTTTATTATCCTGTTTTGACATCCCAAAAACAGATAGAGTAATCACTACTACCAGAAGCTAATGTATTTCCATCAGGAGAGAAACAGACTGACATCACAGCATATGAATGACCATCTAATTTGGCTTTTTATTATCCTGTTTTGACATCCCAAAAACAGATAGAGTAATCACTACTACCAGAAGCTAATGTATTTCCATCAGGAGAGAAACAGACTGACATCACAGCATATGAATGACCATCTAATTTGGCTTTTTATTATCCTGTTTTGACATCCCAAAAACGGATAGAGTTATCATAACTACCAGAAGCTAATGTATTTCCATCAGGAGAGAAACAGACTGATCTAACAGTACTACTATGACCATCTAATTTGGCTTTTTATTATCCTGTTTTGACATCCCATAAACGAATAGAGTAATCACTACTACCAGAAGCTAATGTATTTCCATCAGGAGAGAAACAGACTGACATCACAGCATATGAATGACCATCTAATTTGGCTTTTTATTATCCTGTTTTGACATCCCAAAAACGGATAGAGTAATCACTACTACCAGAAGCTAATGTATTTCCATCAGGAGAGAAACAGACTGATCTAACATAATTACTATGACCATCTAATTTGGCTTTTTATTATCCTGTTTTGACATCCCAAAAACGGATAGAGTAATCACTACTACCAGAAGCTAATGTATTTCCATCAGGAGAGAAACAGACTGA